GTAAAGACGCTAATCCTGTTTATGAAAAAGCCGAATCTCACAACTAAGCAACACACCTGTAGCGTAATCTAGCACTTGAGACTCAACATTATGCACAAACTCAAGTTCGTCTCCAGGTGCATCTTGGCACTAATTATACGGTATTATTAGTATGCGTAAGATCATGGTCTCTGCCACTTGTCCACCCCCAAGTTACATAATCTTGAGTCGTCTAGAACACAAGAAAAATTAATTTTATATGCAAAGTAGTTTGTCATCAGCCACCGTTTGGTATAATTACTTGTTTTAAATGAGTGATGATAAAAAGTTCCAAAGAGTCCTCGAGCAAATTGGAATAACGAGTTTTCAAATATTTCACAGGATTTACTATTTTGAGGGATGGTTTTCGAATCTTTGAAACTGTTCACTGTGTCTTATATCAACTCCAATGACATTTTTTTCTAAGCTGGGGCATGAAATTTACTTTCAGACCAGGTGAGAAACGTCAACACCACAAATGCCCGGACTTCGATCACCCACTCCTGGTATTTTTAATGAAGGCGAGAATTTGTACAACAGGGATAATATACACAAAAAGTTTTTCTGACTTTTAAAATGAAAAGTCATACATAACTGTTCCTGCCGGGTAAAAATCCTGATTCTGTTTTTGGGAAATTGTGTTGACTGTCCATATCCAAAATCCTGTTTCCCTTATGTGAACCTCACCATTTTTCTCTTTGATAGTCTTTACGCCAGTTTTGATGTTTGTAGTAATAAATTAAGGAGAATAAGAGCCAGATAAAGGGACAATACTAATACGTAGGGGCACTTAGAGCATGAACCGTGTATCACGAGGTGGGAGATCACTACCGACGCCAATCACTGGCAAAACTGTAGACACAAAAGACAAACCTGTGGGGTTCAGTACCGAAACACAATGCTAGAATTCCTATGGAGGGCTGTGTGACAGCAAGTGTCCATGGAAAGCGGCGCCACACCCGAGCATGGCCTCGAGCTGGATGCAACCGAACCAGAAGCTCATAAGTAGTTACTAAAGCCATGATTAATATGCAACAGCAGGTTTGACATTTGGGGCTTGTTGTGTGTGCCTAAGTGAAGGGTGTCTCGGAGAAAGAGTGCCGTCAGAGGGACCAACCAAAATTTCGCCCGCTAACAGGTTTGAGCACAGCTTATTATTAGGAAATGCCAGTGAAAACAAAGCACACAATCTTAATAAGGTTCCAAAGTTGAAAAGGTTTACCATTAGATTACGACTGGACTTGGACGTAAAAATTTCACAGTATATTCATCCACTTTCTACTTACACTTCGAATCAACAGAGCCTTTTCCTGCATGAAAATAAGCTAGCCCTGAAGATCCCCAACATTCAAATCCTCGGAACTGAGAAACCACTTTTCGCAGCCATAAAGTGTGATCACACTTACAGCTGTCTTACGTGAAAGGTTCCTCACCTTCGGTAATATTTTAATTCAAAAGTATACACGGCACAAGCTGGCGAACGTGACTCGTGTCGGTGGAAGCTGGTGTGGGTTCGCTCTTTGATATCACACGTCAGACAGTTGTAGCAATATAGGAGGCATCACTGTGATGCTTCCCCCTTCATCCACGATTCTGTGTCCCATTTCATCACCACCAGTTTGTTTCTCTACATGGTGCACACTTCTTCTTTGCAAAATGCGTCGTAAGGAATGGTACTGTGATGCTGCTGTGGGTACGTTACTCCCTCTCCAAAGCCTCACGAGTCTAGTAAGATGTAACCGATACATATATATTACACTCTGCGAACTGCAGATCTACGTTTGCGTGCAATCCGTACTGCGACAGACGTGCTGTTATAAATGAAGGCGTCTATGATTGGTAACTTCAACAACTGATAAACGCTTCAGATCCTTCCCAAATGCAAACGATCTTAGGTAACCTAAATAACTTTGCCGCACGGTTTGGTATGCGCTTCACACCTGGGGAGTGTAAAGTGTTGCTACAAGACCGGGTGGGATAAAACCCACACTTCATGCTTGCAGGCGAGCCAATCGACGCGGTAGATAAGTTTGTTTACCTGGGCAGCTGTATAGGTTCCGATGGACTGGCTGGAGATGAGATTGTTACTCGAATCGGAGAGACCAGGTCTGGTGGGAACATCTGATTAGTAATGCTGAGGTACGCCTAATGGTTTTAGGAAGAAGGAACTCTACTGCGATAGATGAATTACTCATGCTTCATAGGCGGTGCTGGTTGGGACATGTAATCCGTATGCCAGAAGACCGTCTGCATCGCGGAGCTCTTTTCGTCCAACCCGGTACTTAGTGGAGGCGACCAAGAGGTGGACAGTATGAACTGGCAACGAAGTACGAAAACACTAACCGGTAAACTTAGTCGGGTGGGTGACTGCAGCCTCCCTGGATGGGAACTCTAGCACTCAAATCACCAGTGGTTAATGACATTGGTGGAAATGTCCGAATCGCGCAGTCAGTGACGCTCGTGCATCAAAGCTATCGCCCTCAGTGCGTAGCTACCCAATTTCTGAACAAAGCGAATATGCCTTCGCCTACAAAGCTTAGTTGTATGTCCCACTTTCCCGTTTTCCGGTGACCGAAACTGTAGCAGCTGAAACCAATGTGCCGATGGCACACGGTTTATCGATGATAAATTGATTGATTGATTGTATATTGTATGTATTGTGTGTGTAATCTGTATATGTAATGTGCAGTATCTTCCCTCCGCGAACAAATGCCAATAAGTTGCGAGGCTTCTCTTAAGTTAAACCATAAGCTGAATGTTTTGAGGCGATTGCCTTGACTTCCCTGAATTCAACCCCATAACTGAAGTGCTTTTTTCGGCGTTGCAGATTGATATTCACAGCTTTTTCCCAGAGAAGTAGTAGGGTGTGGAATGGACGCAAAGGCTGAACAGGAAACTGTGACGAGGGAATCGAAAAAAAGCATCCAAGATCTACCTAATCCTTGTTACATGACAACGAATTCTGAATACGGAAAGTATTGCCCGAACGTCCACACAATGCCAGGATACTTCTATCCACTTCAAGGAGCGTTTACACAGGTAAATTATTACTCATTTGGTCTGATATTTGCACCACATTTCCAGCATCTCGGGAAGTGTGGCATGTATCGAAACCACTCGCTGAACACCTGATGCGGTCTCCGATGGAAACGACTATGAACAAATAATAATCTTCCACGTGAACCAATTACAACGACATACACAACAGTTTGACAAATACTCCTGCATCTTTTCATTTATCTTTCAGTCTCCCACTTGATAGTCGACCCGTGTCCCTTACAGAAATTAAAAAACTGCTCTATTAACATATACTGGTTTTCTCTAAATGCGCTTTAGAAGAGAGCACACCAGTTGCAAAATTAATCTTAGAGCTGCACTTAGAGAACATGATCAAACAACAATAGGGTCAGTGCACAAGCACTGGGTTTTAATGGCAACCATGGAAGCTAGGAAAACAGTGAATGACTTGAAATCGGGCGCCGAAAAACCCGAATCCGTAGCTGGTTACCCCCAACCCCATTGTGCTTCAGAATGCGTTGAACAATGGTGGTAGATTGGGTCCTGAGACTGAAACTAATTAAAGATTATTTTGCTATAGGCTTCACGTTTAACGGTGGGGAGGCGCACAACAGACTAATGGTGGCTCATCCGCATCAACTTTCCGTAGAAAGACAAAGAACGCATTCGATTTATTACCCCTGCTTTGGCCTGAACAGACCGGTAGCATATGAACCTTCGTATTTCATTCAAGTTGTATGGCATTTACACACCTCAATGAAGCCAAACTTAAACGATTTTACTAGATTTCTCTGTTTATGTCGGATAGCTGTAAACTTCATCCCTTAAAACGCCAACGATGAAGACAACATAAGGACAGTTCACGGACCGTACTAAGCTAATAAAAGTGAAATATGAGGAAAACATGTAGTTCACCAGCTGGGTGATTTGATTTTCCTAACAACCGGAAATACTAGTCTTGGTGCGTCCAAGCCTTTGAGAACAGAACCACTTCGCTCGGTTGGAAATTCCAAACCCCTCTCTCACTACCAACAATCTCTCGCCATCATTCCGACGCGAGAACTAACCCTTGGCTCTCTCGCAATCATTCCGACGCGAGAACTAACCCTTGGCAACGGGAGATGGAGACTGGAAACATGGTGATGTCTCCAACAGAGGGCATGCAGTCAATTCCCAGTCAGAGGTTAATGATTTCTTCATGTTGGCGGACGTATATAGTCTTCCTATATGCTAGGAAATGAAGCTAGTGAGGAAGCTCCCTCGCTGCTGGAAGTTTGTGCCAACCAGACAGGTACTGATATTCTGAAATGTGCATCCAGCTTGTTCTTGTTTAAACCTTGCTGTGAAATCGTAATTTTCGGACTGCGCAGCTAGAATCCAGCGCTGGTACACTGATGTTGCTGTTGTTGTATTCCCTGGCAGAATGATGGAAAACTCCTTTGGAGCATCAGCTAGTCATTCCCATATTTCGAAATGAACCAGTCATGTCGGCTTCAGGAGCTTTAACGACGCAGCACATTTGTCCTCCTAAACAGGATAAGTGTGGATGAAGAGACGAGGTGCTGATGACCTTCACCGTAAACAAACATGACCCGTTGTTAATAGGGAGTGCAAACTAGGTTTTCAATGAAGATTCTCCAGCAAAATATCACTTTATGCTGACAAAACCATTAGATCCCCGCGGAATAACTCTCTGTACACGAAAAACGCGTCTGATTTCTGAAAGATCTAGCCCAACCCTTAGAAATTTAATTGTCCGATGGAAACGGAAAAGGTAGTAAGTCCAACTTAGTCTGTGTAATGCCCATCTGGAACGTCTTTTAATGAATCATGCAAATTTATGATAGGGATTTATATCACAAGAGTGAGTTTTAAACAGAGAGCAATACTCAATGAAAAATGCGAACCACAATGTTCAACTACGAATGACAAGTCCAATTTATAGATCCGCCCGTCAAGTTATGAAGCATTCGTACAGTGCATTGGAGATCAACTCGTGGCGAGTCAGAAAATGTTCCTAAAGATTGGACAAGATATTGAAGGTTGGATTACCGAGCTAGTCGTCAAACTTGGAAAAAGTAACACAAGAATAGAACCACGGACACTAGGATCAGATCAGACTGCGCTTAACTGCGGACAAAATATCTCAACGGGACTAGTATGTGTTCAAGAGCCACTCATTCACTCGTTGCACATTTGTTCTTGGGAAGCTTGCACAGCGTCGAAGGGATGGAGGCCACAGATCCGTGCTATCAGAATACATGGATTCTGTGTAAGTAACGAAAAAGATCTAAACCTTTCCAACCCATATTCAACTAGAAAAACGGAAATAAAAGAACAGACTGGGATTATTTTTCTTCATGTTTAAAGTATGGTGGTACAATCAAAACGAATCAATTAAGGGAACTAGATACATGCGTGAAACAACCGGTTACACAGTTTCTGCGTTTGCCAGGGATCGAATGGCCCGGGTCCTCATTTCCAATTCGCCAGCTTCCTTATTCATCTGTGAAACGAAAAACAATAGATCAGTACAAATTTATCACATTGCAGTTTAGATCTGTCCATAGTAAAGCAAAACACGAAAAGAATTGAGGTCTACAAAGGAAGCATAAATCCGAAAAAATATATGAAAGCATAAGCCTAGGGAGCAAGTGATTTGGGATGTGCAATCAAACCCGTAGGTAATGAATGCAGTTATGGCGTGATCTGTCCATAATGAACGGATGTAACATTTCCAAGGGTCGGCGTATCGAAATTTCTTCTCTAAGTCATTAATATCAAGTTATTCACATGTTTGACGAAATGCAGGGGCTACCTATTTAAAGCTCGTCTGGGTAAGTAGATGGTGGGTTATTCGGTAGATGGACAAAAAACACGAACTGGGTAAACTCCGTTGTGTAGAACTGATTCTGGCCATATGGACCGTTTTGGCCGGACAATGAGCACGTGTGTCCGGCGTGTCTGACAAAATTCATACGTATTACCAGGACACGAAGACGTTCATTTGCCCACAAGCGAATAGTCGAATGTGTCCAATAGGTGTTGCCTGGGTCGTAGTAATACGTCCATCCACCCATCTGATGACTTCATTTGAATCCAAATAAAACCGAGGATGTACATAGCCACAATAAGTGCGAAACGTCAGTTCAGTGCTCCACTTTTGACGGGAACTGAGCAGAATACCCACGCCAGGACTGCCCAAACCCGAAACTTCTCAAACGAGAGCAAAGTGGACAAACATTCTACGGAGCCTATAATTACCTCAAAGTATTTTCAAATGCAGTAATTCTTCCTTAGGGAGAATCCGAACGAGAAAGTGTCCAAGCAAGAATCAACACGGGCAGTCAGTGCCTGTCATTTATAGCTTTGGTCAACCAATTGTCCAAATATGACTAAGGTCGCCTGAATAAACTGTAGAAAAGTCATTGTTCAACTGACCACATAAACATATAAACGCCTGAATGGGGAGGATATCTGTACCTGAATAGGGTTTCGTAGCCAATTACTGATCAGTAATGAGGTTCGGTCACAGTGAGCTGCGTTGTTGCCATCCCCACCCTCATAAAAAGCAGTGGAATCGAAACCAAAAGATTTGTATCGGCCTGAAAACGAAATCCACCGTTCTTTATTCTTTGGGATCATAGTCAATTTCGGCTTCAATCAACATACAACCTGGTGTACAGGAAAATCTGCAGCCTCGAACATGTCCTCTTTTGATAGGCCGCTTTCACTCACGCTACCCATATCAGTTGAGCAGAAGTGGTGGAAACAACCAGCAGACAAAGTCAGAATATCAAATAATGAGGTCTATTCGGTCCCGTATGCACAAAGTTCATCAAAAGTAGCTTGAGAGTACCCGAGGCCACCGTAATTCGGCTATTTCAAAAGCAATCACTGCAATCCGATATATGAGAATATGTGCACCAAATCGGAGCGTTAAACTAAGCCACCGAAACAAGGTCAAGGGAACCGGCAAACGATTGAATAACAACATACACCATTCTAGCCACACTGATGCCATTTAAGTTTATCCACGGACAGAGACCAGATTCACTTTGCAGTAAATTCCTCACAAGAGAAAAACCATTTTGGCCCGTCCTGTGAAGCATTACCTATAAAGCATTACCTGCCAAGTAAGTTTGAAATTCGGAATAGCACAATAAGCCGACTACGGTCGAAAGATATCAGCTGACTGTATAAACCAGGTTATGATTTGGAGCGATGGACTTCCTCGATTTTTAACGGGAGAGTTGGACAATCTCGAATTGTTCAGAAAAAAACTATACCACATTCATTCTAGGGCAATCGTAAACACACTTCGCCAGTTTTTACATAGCTCGTGGTGCAGAGAATTCCCCGCCCCAACTGCCGGTCAGACAATCCAATGCATCTACGTGAGCTGAGAGGGGTTTACAAAAACGGGTCAACAAAACTGTGGATCAAAAGCTAATATCAGGGTAAGGTATAGATAGAAGCCACAGGGTTTGTGTCCGGAGGCCAGTCGCCCTTAATAACCGGCAGTACGTCAATTGAACGGATGTGTCAAGTGCGGGTTACGGGTCAAACGACGACATGCCCTGGTTGGTCAGAATGCCAACCAATCGGGATCGATCTTCTTTGGCTCGATAATTCTCGCCCCCTCACGGAGATTCTGGAACGACCTTGTGGAACACTCTGTGATTACCATTGGTCTTCCTATAGGGCTGTCTGGAGCTATCGTGCCTCTTGATATATCATAGTGGGCAGAGCAGGAAGCCAAGGACCAACACAGCTGCACGAACTTCAGCAAGCCACGACAGTTCGTGTGCATAAATCCCTATAAATTTAGCAAATATTCATAAATCTTAATGCCTCAGTTTTTTATCGGCTGACTCGCCATGACAACCGGCTTGCAAAAAGGAACGTCATGCACTGCAGTTGACAAGAGAACTACACAAACAAGATTAGTTAAGGGGATCCAATAAAGTAAGATAGCCCCCAGATTGAGAGCTCAGATCTATAGAAACGCATGGGCGACCTGCTACAGCAGCTGTAGAATCACGATAATATCAATGCAACAAAGCAGCCGTAACCTTGGTGGCTGTGCTTGGATCTTGTATTCTAGTTTCGGAAACGCGGCACCGATAAAGTGACAACAGTACACTAGAGTAGTTCGTTGACTGATCTAAGAATTCGGTTGAAAGAGAAACAGGGAAGTTAGATCTGAGAGGTCGGTGCGATGAGTCAGGCGTAAGTTATCAGGTCCCTCATCAGGTGCAAAACCGACACGGCTGTAACTAACATCAACAAAACAGTGGTCGGTAAACCAGAAAAGGGGGTTTAAGATAATATGGGAGAATGAAAGGTGTCAGCAGTAGCCACGTTTCTCTTACCTGTTCAACCAAATGCACCATTTAAGACGACCCGGCCGATTAGCGTGAAATTATGTGTTTGTGTACTTCAAGGCCTTATGTGGCCCGAGACACTGTCGGAAGACCATGTCTAGACAAGAGGACGGTCTGAGCTCTCACTCAAAACTCTCATCGGTAGGTGGCCTAAGGCTAAAAAATAACCCAACTTTTAGGGGTCAGGTCACTGCACGTGTTGCAACTTCCAGCCTGGAAGTCCAGGATACCATCAGGCCGATCTGAATCAATTGAATAACTCGGTATAAAACTGCATGTATAACACGGGCAGCCGCGGCATAGTTCAGTGGATCACCGAGAGGTAAAAACCATCACACCACAGTAAGACCTGGTCTCACTGTGACTACGATGCAGGACAATCGGACCCAAAACTGCCGACACAGCACAAAGACGAAACAGTACTGGGGAGATTAACAATAATGCCTGACGGGTATGTACGCCATACAGCCGTATAGTGGTAAAAGTGCGACAACTTACAGGGTTCAACTGTGAGTTCGAATCTAGATGTGTATCCTTTTTGGGTGCAGAATCGTCTTGGGTGGTGCCCGCTGCATGTTTTGATGATTCATCCCAGTGAAGTGCGATAAAATTGGCATTCGGGGACCCAGAAAGTACCCACTTAACCTGCTCAGTAGAAAGTTGTCTCAGCTCAGTTAAGGAACGCCTCCATAACTCAGTGATGCCACAAGTAGGCTGTGGATTTGAATGCAATTCATCAAAAGAAGTGAACGGAGGTAACGGCCGTCCGGAATTGGTTTGGTGGTGTTTTGAGTCCCTCTTTTCTCTCCGAGCACAAATGACCAATAGGTCCTCCGTGAGAAGCTCCTTCAGTTTCTGGGCCCCAATAATTGTCCACGCTTCAAGCAAAAGACGTTCTGGAACATCACAAAAACATTCAAGTTGCTGTAAGTTATCTTGATTGTTTTCTGACAAAAGGGGATGCAGACGGTTGACGTAATCTCGTAACTTTTGTAACTCAGCTCCGCAGTTTAGTGGACAGCCACAAGAAGGAACTGTGTTTTCTAAAGACGGTCGTTTGGAATCAATGTGCTTTCGATTATCTTCATCTACCATGCGGTAGACGCGTTTGGCCAGTTTATGTATAATATCACCACGCTGTGTACGTCGCGCGTGCCGAGTCGAGGAGCCAGACCCCTTGACCTCATTGCGTCTGTTCTTGCCATAACCGCGCCTATGGGATTTAGAACAATCAGATTCGTGGGAATCGCAAGAAGAGGAGGAAGACGAAGAGGTGCGACGAGAATGCTTTCGATTGCGAGAGCGAGAGTGAGTCATTCCATGGCGTTATGGCTTCGTCATTGGTTAGTGCGGATGACCACAGCTGAAACGAAGTGAAATAGGATACCAAGGTGAGGAACCACCACTGGAACTAATGAGAAGGGGATCCGAATTATTCAAGTTCAAAAAGAAAACGACGCAAGAGATTTCTGCACCTCATAACTAATGTCAGCTCAACAAAAATACTTCAATATATTAAAACATGAGGCAACCACTTTGCAGCGAACTCAGTCTGGAAACATTATAAAGGGGGAAATTCAGCTGTCTGCCACCAATAATCAGTATCACACAAGCAAGTTTTGTTTGTAATAGCGTCTACCCTGAGACGTATGAGACATGAAGCTCGATAGCCTGAAAATATTAGATTTGCGTAGAGGCCATAGGAACATAACGTTAGTTCGAGAACTCATTCACTTGTCACATGAACGGGTGGCGAACGCAGTGGTATCCTCCCCCTCAAACCGAATGTCTCTTTGTGGATTTTACTGAATGAATGGTCGAAATACCAATTCCCCGATGGGGAGTGGAAAACTTCAGCAACCACGACCCTATCAATCACCAACAGAGTTCACTTCTTCAGAAATGAACAGGTGCAATAAAACACACACACATCTGAGATGCTCAGATTGAGTTTGACCTTTCGGTCGCTAATTTCGCTCCTTGACCACTGAGCTATCTCGGGGCACGAAAGTGGAAAACTTCAGCAACCACGACCCTATCAATCACCAACAGAGTTCACTTCTTCAGAAATGAACAGGTGCAATAAAACACACACACATCTGAGATGCTCAGATTGAGTTTGACCTTTCGGTCGCTAATTTCGCTCCTTGACCACTGAGCTATCTCGGGGGCACGAAACCAGAATTTCCCATAAATGGGATGAGGAACATTACCGCCCGTATGCAAGCAGTTACCAGGAGTGGCCATCATGTAGCCCAAAACCTTGAGTTCGAGTGCGAGCAGGTTTCCGACACACTTTAGACTTTCGGGCTGGGTTCCGAAGAGGGTATTTCATGCCACCAGTGAGTGGTAACGTGTGTTCAACGAACAGAACCTGTTCTAGTGGGAGGTTCGGAACGTCATTACAGGGTTAACCATCAGTTTTTGTGCATTCGTTTTATTCCCTTTGTTGAAAAATATTTTTCTTGCGTAGGAGTGCAGCATGGTACTTCTGCTTGGACTACAGTTTCGACCTTGGAACGCTCGTTAGTTGACGGATGGTGAGTGGAGCTTCCTGGAAGTAGACCTATTGGGCTCCCAATAATGTCGATATATTGACGCCTGAAACTGTCGAAAACTGGAGAGATGAGGGTTGTTCAATGCGCGCGCTTAAGACAGATCAACCTCTCCAGATACCTTTGAGGACGGCTTTCACCGAGGCAGCAAACAGCACTCAGAAGAATGACGACCTCGTTTATACGCCTCAGTCCTCTTCCTTTTCCTAGGTGATATGGTAGCTAAGCAGCCAGGTGTTAGAGCTGAATGGTTATTATTATTACGACGGTCGGTTAACCGCGACACGTCAGGTATTGCTTCTCATTGTCAGAAAATAGAGGGCCGATTCCCTCGTTCACCCGTTCACGGTACTCTCCCTTCATCACCACTGTGGTCCGGTGACGACTTGAACTGGTTCAGCGCCATGACGACGAATAAGTATGGCACAAGTTGCGGTTCGAATGGCTAAGAGCAGGAGACGACCCGTAGCAACTATATCCTGTCATGACTTGAGACGAACTGGCTTCGGAATTCGATTCGATTCGAATTTTTACGTGTTGATATCGTACTAAGGATTCCTAAATGTTGAGACCTACAGGTGGTCTGTCCAATAAGCTGGTGAAGCACGTCGATACATCATAAAGGGACAGCGTGCTGCAGCCGTAGCTTTTCTAGTCTTAAACGGTGCCCCCCGGGGCGGGGTCTCTCTGCCAAAACGGGAAAACGACTCCAGTTCATGGTGAATCTTGAAGTAGATCATCTTGGAGAAAAGGACACCATTTATAAACATCCGTTCGTATTCGACAGGTTACAGGTACAGACGTTCATACTCATCAATGTAGCTGAAATGGCTCATCGCTAGTATCATCCTGGGAACTACCCCTTGTGTACGCTGCAGCTGAAAGTCTTTCGTTCTGGATGCAGGAAAATGTGTCGGGACACCTTCCCCTTTAGATCTCTCCTCCGCGGATCAAGGATCCCATCCGTTTTCTGACACCACCGGTCCCCGGTCTCGATTGCAGCAGTGTGTCTGTTGCGAAAGGCACAGATGCGGCATTGGTTGTTGCGACTGGTTCTTGAATATCGCAGGTTTCAAGCAAAAGACAGATTTAAACTGTTCTTACGCCTTCGGGGTCGGGCACTGATTCGGTCTTCACAGGTTAACATACCGTTTTAAAATTGGTGACTCCACCCGGACGCTACAAATCTATAATTAAAGCTGCTACCTTGATGTGGTGGTCGAGCTCGAGTGCTACAATGACCCCGCGGGATGCGTTGGCTGGAACTTCATCCCATAAGGTGCAACCATGCCAGAAAGGGCAAAGGGGAGCAGTCAGACCAAGAGCAGCGACACCCTGTCCTACAAGCAATCGTGCTACTAGGCGGTCTGTGGGTCAATTGGTGCTACCCTCCGTGATGGGAGTGTGAAGGTAATAAGATGTCTCCCCAGGTGACCAGCATGTCCATATTTATGGATGCAGAAATGCTACCTTCCTCCGATGAAGGACAGGTTAGAAAAAGTCAGTCCTAAAAACCGCAAACTCCGATCGCTCAACGGTTGACGGTGACCGCCGGCGCATTATTTAATACGGTGGAAACACATCTAAAACCAGAGTCTGGTGCCGGTCAAAAGCTACTTACTGTGCGCATCAGCATCAGGAATGAGATTTCTACTGGAAGTCTCCAAAGAAAAACCTACTGCCCACTGTTTCGCAGGTCGAGTCAGAGGCTAGGAACAGGGTCTCCAAACAAATCCCTACATCCTCCCACTGCCTTGTGGGTCAGATATTTTAGTCAAAGGATCATGGCGGAATACCTCAGCTAGACCCTCTTCCTCAGCCCCGGCAGTCGAGCATCAATGTCAACACTGATGTTGATGGCTTCGATGATGACGACGACGTATCATTTGCCCGCGCAGTTCTTTGTTTACCGATATCCCTCCCAACACCTTCCAACCACACAAGCAAACTTCGCTGGATCATATGACCATTAGTTATCTGGTCGAGAGGCATCACACTTCCCACCGCCCATTAACAATGAGAAAAATAACACCTTCCTGAATCCACGAGATCATTTCAGTTGCGCTCAGCCCCAGAGCTGAAAGCGTTTTGCTGGATTGGATCCCAGTGAACAATCGTCTTTGCGCCGTCCGTTTATCCAGCCCAATCAGGCTCAATGCCAATCGACATAAAAAAAACCGTGCCTGTTCGTAGCGTCAGCTTATACATATCTGATACTGAGAAGGATACTGTCTATAGAGAGCTATCCGGGCTTCGTGGAACAAGAAGCACTGATCCTTGGGGGCGATATGACTGCCAAGTCAGTCGTCAGACAAAGGAAAGCGACTCCTTTAGTTATGTGCCGATCATGAACTGCTTCTGGCTAGTACGAACTCTCAGCATACATGTTCGCACCAGGTAACCTGGCGGCTAATAACTGTAAACCAACCGTCGAACTACTTGAATCACGCGGCCACCAGCCACCAGTGGAGGGCCACAATTCAAGACTGTCGTTCCTGCTCGGGCACAAAACTTGACTCCAATCACGACATAGCGCGTGCAGACCCGACAGTTCGTTTCCCTTTAGGCCCTCGCAAGTCACCAAGAGCCATCCCACTATCTCAATACTAGCATAGCTCAACAACTCTCTACAGTAGACCAATACTGTACCAGTGAAAGGAAGAAGGCCTTCGATGCGGAGTTATTTATTCGGAAATGCCAACTGAGCGGTTACAGACCACTGAACAGGGAAGCGAAACTCTAATATGCATCTTAGTTCCAAAAACTGGACACAGATCTTCTCCCGAACGAGTTTTCTTAGAGATTAGTTGCCTCCACTCATTCGTCGGTCAAATCCAAGCAAATGTTACAAAGTGGTCCCACGAATTCCGCAACAGAATTCCCTTTTTCCATCGAGCAAAGCGAAATTCTACAAAAGACACATACTACTCGCGTGCCTCCCGATCAGTAGAATCACCGTTACACCAGTAGTAAGCACGTGATGTCAAAGAGACCACGCTAGGGGCATTCAGTGCTATCTGTCCGATTTCTCCTATTCGACCACAAGACCACTGGATATCGTCGAGACCACTACATCTGATTGATGCCAGGAAATCCATACTAGCAGGAAACCTGTGTGATGGCGCATGCAAATCCTTTAAAGACCAAGTAATGAAGAACCTAAGAAAAGAACTCTGGTGGACATCGAAAGCTGTGTAGATGAAGGAGGCGTTTGCTACTGGGAAAAGCCGTGCCCCATATCAAGTGATACGATCGATTGGCTGCAGGAAAGCAGCAGTCAGTGAAACGATAAAGGCGGCCCACTAATTCACCTGCAAAGATGTCGACTGAGAAATGGGCCAACCATTTGAAGAACAATTTAGCTGACCTCCTGCAGCACAGCCAGTACATACGGGGCGAATGGAAGAAATAAAGCACGAAATATCCGTACTGAAACGTGGGAAGGTACCAGGACCGAACGATCTCTATCCATCCCAGTCCAAAGAAGGCGGAGTATCCCTGGTGACATACCCAACAAAGCTTATTGGTGCAACATGAACTGAAGAGAAAGTAACTGCAGAATGAGAAACGTCGACAATTATTTCTATCTTTAAAAAAGGGCGCGCAGACGCTGCGTGAAAACCACCGTGGCACCAGCCTGGTAGCTGTGGTATCGGGTGCTCTCTGGTCTTATCCTTCGAGGGTTGACGGAATACAAAGGGATAGATCTGTGAAAACCAAGTTGGGTTCCATCCTGCAAGAGGATGCATCGATCAAATTCTCACCCTGTGATAAATCCTGGAACAGCGACACTGCTTCCAGCGACCAA